AGTCTAAAGCAACAATGCATACACTAACAGAATAACAGAAACAATTTTCTTTCCCGACTATTTTACTAAATTTTGGTGCTTCCCACTAATCTTTGGCATAATTGATGAAGAACAGCTTTTTGAATCTTCTGTGGCTCCCCCTGTCATCATTAGACCATATCAACAAAATATAAGAATAAACAGATACCTTTCGACAAATGCCAATAGAGTCAAATATAGAACTGCAGCACATCTATGTAGCTCCAATTGATTTCTTCTTTCATATATTCTTCTTGTTCCATCTGAAACAGGTGCTGCAAATTAACATACATCCAAATTAATTTGCAGCAGTAGACAAATTGTTTATGGCCAGTTTTTTTTTTGCAACAGTCTGCTGGTTTTTTGTTTGCTACTGGGAGTTTGCAGCTGTTTGTGTTGAGTTAGAGAGGTCTTTTTTTTTATAGGTAGTGCAGTTTGTGTAGAGTAGTTTTCTTGTTTTTGGCAGCATGTGTATAGGGCTGTTGCTAGGTAGATTCTGCTGCCCTTTTTTAGGGGTGTGTGGTTTTGAAGCTCTCAAGGTTGTAGTTTCTATTTCCTTGGTTTTGCTTGCTTTTGTGTATAAGGATTGGATATCCTTTGCCTTTTGCTTCTTTTGTGTACCCTTGGGCCTGTCCAAGGGTCGGCTTTCGTGAGGGAGTCCCCTCTCTTTAGTTGTAATTTTTTATTCTTTCATAATTATGGGATCTATCAAAAAAAAAAAAAAAAAAATTAACGTCAAAAGGCAAAATCTCACAAACCCAACAGGTTTCTTACAATTTGTTTGACACAATCTGGTGTCAAACCAAATTTAGCCATTGGTCTTCTTTGTTTGACTTTAGTGATGATAAGGCTATAACGAGACGCTCTTTGAAGTGAGCTCTTGTAAGGGGGTTACCAGTTGGCTCAACATTATTCAGAAAGCGTGGTCCAAGTCCAAGAAAAAGAGTGCAGCGATCCGCCATTAGGCTCAAGCCAATAGTGGACCCTTCGTTATCCATAATCAATTTCGCTATATTTGTTTTATTTTTTTGTCAATTTTCCAGAAATACAAAAGACCACCAACAGTAGTCATAAAAGCAAATAATTTCTTTGGCATATAAATTTCATTTGTAACTTGAAAATAAATAGATAATTTATCACAAAAGAACATAATACGTTACAATTATCAAACACATGCATTTTAGAATTGTTGATGGCCACTTTTGTCAAGGGAGGCCCAATCATACATTGAAGACTTGATAAGGGATGGCAAAATTCCTCGGGCCTGGTGTTAAGTGTGAAAAATCGGGGATGCGGATGAAAAATCATCCACACATTGATTTCGAGTTGGGGACGGGAATCGGTTCTAATCCCCAGCCCGGCCCAAAATCCTTACAAGATTTAAACATTAAATAAATAAAATATTTTTTCAAAAAAAAAAAAAAAAGCAAAGCAAAATAAATAATTTTACTTTCAATATCATTTCTAGAAAACTTATTTTATATGACCTACCTATTATAGTTAAGGAATAAATATTTTGGGTGTTAAATATAATAACTAAGATAGAATTATATTAAGATTTAAGGAAATACCTCTTCAGATTTGAGGAGTTTTTAAAAGTAAATAAATATCTTTGATATTATATTTTTTCTAATTCAAAACTGAATAGAATATTTACTTTTTTTGTAAGAGATAATCATTCTCTTAATATGACATTAATAATTAATTTTCTATAGCTTGCACGGTATATATAAGGTAAAAAAAGAATATGTTAAGAACTAAGATCACTAAGGTAACTCTATATAATCTATATTTATTTAATTAACTTTTTGCTAATTTACCTTTTTTTAAATTAGTATAACTGAGAATATGACACAATAGTTTATTTTAATTAAAAAAAAAAAAAGAATTTCAAAACAATCCATTATAGAAATTTAATTTAAAGAATTTTTGGGTTAGGCTAGGATGAGGATAGGGATTGCCTTTTCTTTTCGAGGAATCCCTGACCCATCCTCGCTTAATAAAATCAGGTGTCAGGTTGGGGACGGGGATGGCGATCCTTGGCCATTGCCATCCCTAGACTCAATCATACAATTGAGACCCCAATTAAGGTACAAAGCTACAATTTAAGCTTCAAAGCTTCACTTTGATCTAGCTTCTTGAGATCTCTAATTAAAGCCTATGACGTTTTCTAAATATAAGCCCAAGATATCTTTAAAAGGTAAGGCCATGACATTTTATGCATGAAAGCCCAAGAGACTATGAACGGTACGCCCATAGCATTTTAGGGTTAGATTCTAAAAATGCTAGCTCTACTTTCACAACCTTAAATATCTTTGGGTTTGAGACACTGACAAAAACTTAACTTTAGTATAAAATTGTTCCTTAAAATTCTTTCATACAAGGCACTTCATGCATGTCTTTCACGGTATAGTATGAAATAAGGTTTAGTCACTTAGACAACCTTACTTATGACGAATAGTCTGATGACTTATGGGTTTTGTCACCAACTATATGTAGGGGTGAGCAGGTCTCGGTATCCAACCCAATTCCAAGGAATTGGAATCGAAATCGGAACCAATTGGTTTTGGTTCCCGGATACCCAAACCTATAACACAGGTTTCGGCTCTGATTTCGGATACCCTGTAAATTTCTCTTCCACCCCCCCCCCCCCCCCCCCCAAAAAAAAATATTCTAAAAAATAACAATTAACCCTAAAAAATATAAATACACCTTGGATATCCGTCGGTTTCAGGTTCAATTCTTGAAGTGGTGGAACCAAACCTAGACCTACACAGACCAGTTCCACCAAATTTGGAGCCGAAACCAAGCTTGCGTGGGCCGATTCCGGTTCTACCCGAAACCAATGGTGGATACCCCTAGTTTCGAGTCTCCCCATTACCCATGCTCACCCCTAGCTAGAAGAATGAGTTGGAAGGGATTTCTTAGGTAGTGTTTTGACAAGAAATCTAGTGCTTCAAACCTAGGAATTAGCACCAAATTTGATTCAATGATTCTTTTGCACCTCTATAGAGTTTGCGATACCTATTCTGTGGGTTGTTGAGCTTATAAATATAAAGCTTCCACATTTTGATTAATATTCAAGAATTTTGTTCAATAAAGTTGGTCTACAAGTTCTAGTTATAGCAGCAATGAAAAGATAGGGTGCACTTTCTATATCTGGCTCTAGTTAATAGAGTTCTGAATATCAGAGGAAACCGTGTAACTTGAAATGATCTTCTTGTAACTTAAATATTATGTTACATTTATCATTTAATGTTTGTCATTGATTAATAAGATGTTTTACCTTAAAATAAAGACATGTATCAAATTTTGTTAATGCAAGTATAAAATTATTACACTATTAGCTCGTTTAATAGATTTTACCTTGAATACATCAGGAATCAAGCTCTTAGCATGCAGGCAGTAAGAGCTTTTTCCACAAAAGAAGGTCTATACATCTATGAGATTCTTCTTTACACCCCATCAATAGCATGAGATATAAAGCAACACAACCTGCCACTAGACCTATTACGGTTTCCCAGAACCTTATCGTTGGCGCCTCAAAGAGATCAATATGAATATTTATGCCTAATGTTCCCACAATACAAATGCCAACATTCAGTATAACAGTTGCACTACTTAGGATCACCCACATCTGTAGCAATTCATTCTGTGTCTCATCCAACATGATGTTGATGCAGTCTTCCATGTCGCTGACATACTTGCTCATCTTACCAAAATAATAGACACCATATTCAGTGGACAATAGAGAAAGAAAGAGAGAAATCATCTACTTACACATTAAACTATGCATACAACATAATTTGAAGTTGCATGACATCAAGCAGAGCGGCCAAGTATGAAACATATTGAATACGTGAAATGAAAGGACTATGGTTTGGACAAGGAAAGCTAACATTCCTGACTACAAGTTAGCTGACATGATAACCTAAAGGAAAGAGACATACATGCAAGTTAAAAATCTACACGCCAAAAGTTTAGAAAATTCCTCTAATCTTTTATGGGCAGGAAAGGAAATAATCTTCAATTTCGCTTTTACCCCAAGGCTTTCCATGCCAAGAATTGGGATCTATCAACACCCATTCCTTCCCCCCTATTTTGTGCACTCTACCATCCTCTATCATTTATGCATGTATATGAATCAATGACACAATACCATTGAGGCATACATCTTGCATGTTCTTAAAAGACATGTGGTTTTAAACCAAACAATAAACATGAAACCGTGACTAAAAAACATGTGGTATTGTTATTGTTTTCAAAAATTTATTACTAATTACAAAAGTGCCTCTCTTTAAGTTATTCTTGAAATATTTTGTTACAAACCAAATAGAAAAGAGGGAAAAGCTGTGGGAAGGAAAAAGGCAAAATATTTGACAGAACTGTGGATGACTACACTGAAAGGTTTTATCTATCCAAATACTGACAACACAAACTGTCATGTTGTTTTTGTCTTTTCTTTTGTATTACTAACCAGGGACTGAGTTTAAAACTTAATCTCAAGATTATGTGAACCTTCTCACAATTAACTTAAGTTCAGTAATTCTTAGCTTTCATCATAGAGAAATCAATATTCCAAACATTTTTTTTTTTTTTTTGTGTGTGTGTGTGTTCTCATTGTATTTTTCCAGCAATATAAAATTTGCAATCACGTTTAACTACTATTTTTGCCATGCTAACATTTTTAATGCATCTCAGTATGTCTATAATATTTGAAAATTTTATGGAGCTTTAATATGGAAATAATCGAAATCTCCATTAATTTTAATTCTTAGTTTCTACTATGGTATTATTGTATTAATCAAACACTATGTGTCCTTAACCACACTAAACGAGTAATATTTCAAACTCAATAAAATTTCAAAACACAATAATTTTTTGATAAAAGTGAACTATTAAAAGATAAAGTAAACAAAAGACCATACATAGATAATTTTTGTAGAGTCCATCTATTTGTGCAAAATAAGCTTCTAAAAGATCTCCAACTCCTTAATTTTGGGCTTAAAGTCATTGTAAATTTCAGAGTTCTTCTCTGACCTCGAATCTTCAGCCCTGAGAAAAGCAGCAGTGTAATAGAAAAGTGGAATAAGTAAGCAGGTAAAATAATCTTCAGAACTGCAAAATGAGTGCAAGTGAGTCAAAGTGATCGTAACACATATATGACAAAAATTATGGGCAAAAAAAATGCAATCAATTGGGAACGCAAGACTTTCAATCAAACTAGCTCTAGTACCATATTAAGTACCGTTGAATCCAAAAAAACTTACTTAAAGGTAACAAACTACAAAGGTATTTAACTTCAACATTAAATTCTGCATGAAAATTGTGAAGTAGATGCTGATAAAATTATAGAATTTAGAAAGCTGATAAACATAATGTCTTGATCCTAATTGGAAAGAAACCATTCAAATCATTCTAATCACTTTTAGTCACTAAAAACTAACCAGCTGGCTTTTGCTTAGGGCCTTAGGGGCTCCATAGGCAGCACTATCAACTTCTGTAGATTTGAGTAGGTCCATGAACCTTATGGTTAAACTGGAGATCTATGGAGCAGCTGCTTAATCTTTTCCATTATTTGGAGCATGTCGTAGAAAGTAACAGAAACAATATATTCTTTAAAGCAAAACGCTTTTTAGCTACCTGCAATTCCCTTTGTTTGGATTCTTCCAAGAAACCGAAGAACTAAAAGTGTAGGGACATAGGGGTATATATACATCAACATGATTCACCTCAAGAAACTGGCAGTTTGAACTTTTTTCAACAAATAATAACTACTAAAAAAACCATGCAGGACTCAAGTACAGAAGGAGAGTATATAATAGATACCATAAAATGGAAGCAAAGGAAAAGTCAAACCCCAATATTATACAATTTCAAGAAGTTCTAAAAAAGAAAGCAAAGGTAGTGAAAATAGATAGCCTCGTGAATAAGTTTCCAAGCCTGGTCATTCAGCTGCTAGTGCATCACAACGGACCCCTAATTTACTAACCCTATATTATAAGATTATTGAAGTCGCTAGGTATGTTCTCCCCAAAACACACAAGTCAAACAGTATAGCTATATATGGTGAAAATAAATTAGTAAATTGATACCTAAACCTCTAACACTAAGGACTGTCTTCTATCGCATTTTAATATCAATGAAGGAGAAAATTTACTTTTTGCAATAGATCTACTCCTCCTTCAGTCCGCATTAAGAAAAACAAACAATGAAAACTGTAATAGAAACAGATTTAACTAGAATTCTTTTTTTGACAATTTATATTAACTTCCAAGAATAAAAACTGTAAAAGAAGATTTTGGTTGAGCATAAGTCATGAAAAATAGCAACTTAATCAGATCAAAGCATATAAGAGGATAAAATGATGTGACTTTTGAATGTATTCTTCAAATTTAACAAAACCCAATTGGCCATCTTAAGTTATCAAAGCCAAACATAAAACAGCTCCAATTGTGTGTGTGAGAGAGAGAGAGCAAAACTTCTTCCTCATAAATAAAATTGGCATAAACTTTTAACCTCTGTTTAGTTCTTATACATCTTTATAAATTATGTGGCATAACTTTTGTTTTAAAGCAAACAAAAAAAGGAAAAAAAATGAAATATTACCAATAAATATGATAATATTTTCTAATCCTGAACACTTATGACCGACTGACCAACTGTCTCACTTAAATGGTTTTGTACATAACCTGTTTCTCAGACGATAACTATGCAAGTAGGAAATTAAAATAACAAGCAGCTGCATTCCAAGTTCCTCAGAACCACTATATGTAAGAAGCACTTTTATAATCTCAAAGATCTGGAATTAGCCATCACCTGTAATTTTCTAATTCAGGTGCAGGGTTGACTTCCTCTTCCAATGATGCCTCATCCAATGAATTAGAAATAAGCTTTTCTGTCAAACACATTTCAGCCATATCTTTGTCATCGTCCAGCAAATGTTCAAGTTCATCTCTCACCTACAAGTTACCAGATGCAATGATATTAGATATATACTAACAGGCTTAAGAAAGGCATACTAGTGAAAGATATTATTATAACTTTAATTTCAGTTTCCGGACCAAGAGTAAAACATCACACCTGATTCCTTACAGTCAAATTTACTTTACAGACAAACAAATTAGGAATATTAATCACAATTCGTGGATGTTAGGTAAAGATAGGTATTTCCAATCCAGCCAGAGGTAAATCATAGCACCTTTGTGGGCCTATATCTGCAATACTAACATCATGGTGCAAGGAATCATTATTATAACTTTAATTTCAGTTTCCAGACCAAGAGTAAAACATCACACCTGATTCCTTACAGTCAAATTTACTTTACAGACAAACAAATTAGGAATATTAATCACAATTCGTGGATGTTAGGTAAAGATAGGTATTTCCAATCCAGCCAGAGGTAAATCATAGCACCTTTGTGGGCCTATATCTGCAATACTAACATCATGGTGCAAGATATGAAGCTAACATTTTCTCTAGAAGTTACAATGAAAAAAAAAATGAGAGAGAGAGAGAGAAAGAAGAAAGTTCGGTTCAGTCACTTAATACATGAAGCTTAACAGAAACATGATTTTTTGCACACTAGCATATTTTATTAGGATAGTGTCCTCTTTCTATTAGATAAACAATTTAAGAAAAACTATAAAGCAATACATACTGATGTAAAACGAATGCGAAATGGAAACAGAAATATGTTAGGTGTGTAACAGCAAATTATTTGAAGTAATCAATTATTGGATTCCACATAGTTTTACCAATTGACTTTTCAACGCAATTAAGCAATTATGCACTATATATAGCAGTCTAAATTGCAGCAATTGTCCAACATCATGTTTTTGTATACCTTCTGCATACGACCAGATATTCCAGCCAGTCGACTCTTTATTTGCCTAACACTTTTTGTGTCTCTGTCTCGCTTTCACATACACAGCTCCAATCCTTGCAACAAAAATTTATACCTCAGATTCAAGGCACTTGCACGCAGACTCAAGACAAGCTTCAAGTGCTCTAAACTCAAATGGCACAACTTTAGGACATTCGGCCTCGGCTATTTCCCCTGTTGTCTGTGGGTTGAAATCATTTTTCTCGGCGGGACTTTGAGATGTCCTCTTGCGCTGACCTTGTGTTGGCCACTCAGCCTTATCATCACTGCCCAGTTCATCTCTCTGCATTGCCTTTCAACCAGTCAATAGTTTGCTTGCTTCACAGGAATTGACCTTAAACCCTTGTTCTAAGATACAAAAATTTAACCCAAAAACACAGTAAACCATACGCCCATCAATGTCCATATAGGAATCTAATTTTTTTTTCCTTTTTTTTTCGTTTCAATGACCCTTCCATTTGCAATGAATTTTTTTCAAAAGTTATAAGAAAGGAGGGGAAAGTTCAGCGGATTCAAAGAAAATTTATGAAAATCATATCAAGAGAAGTTTCTGACCTATTTCAAAACTAATAAATTTATCACTCCTTCATTAGACCTTCTACTCGGACGGATCATTGAAGAGGCACGGCCTAGCTTCTAAACAAATAATAATAATAATAAGTTAATAACAACTTTTAGGACGAAAAAGCCCTTAGTAAATGCATTGTAATTACAAAACTATTCTTAGCCTAATTTGAATTTTCCAATTGCGACCCTGTTCCTTAGGACTTTTATAGTAAACCTCGTGTGATTAGCTTTTTTATAGTGATCACTAGACCTGGCAAAACGGGTGAGTGGATCGGGTACAGATTGGGTCTTTACGGGTACGAGTCAAACGGATATGGGTCGAAATATACGGGTCCAAAATATTAGACCCGTACCCTGCCCTATACGGATACGGGTGAACCCGTTTTTTCTCTCTCTAGGTTTAGTTTTTGCAGTTTCACCTTTTTGAGGAAACTGAACTCCTTAAACTAGTTTTCAGATACCCACACAATTCATTGGCTTCTCTCACTTGTTCTCTCTCTTCCTCTGAGATTGTGTAATCAAAATCAGATGACCCAAAAGACACAAAATTTGAATCTGAAGGTACAACATACTTTCGCCTTTGCCGACTTGATTTTGTCTTGCTCTTTTCTTTCACAATTAGAGCATCATCAAGAAATTCACAATCTTCATCTTCATCTTCATCATCACCACATCTTTCTTTCCTCCTCAACCCACGAGTTCTTCTTCCTTTCTTTCCTAAAGGTTTTGCTGAGGCAGTACATTTTCTCCTTTTTCGACCTCTAACATAACCTTTTTTTCTCAACCCTTTTCTACCCAACTTCTTATTCTTCCTACTATTGTTTTTCTTCTTCGTGACCACCAATTCCTTTTCATCATCCAAACAATCATCTTCATCAAGGGTAAACTCCTCATCCTCTTCTTCCTGCTCCCCTTCATAATCCTCATCTTCTTCATCTCCGTACAAAACCCTTTTCCTCTTTCATGATGTTTTAGCCCCATTTCCTAAATTACTCTTTCCCGCTTTCGATCCAATAACCTTCCTCACTTCCTTCTCTTCTTCTACTTCCTCCTCCTCTTCCACAAAACCACCAAAATTCTCTTCCGACGCACATCCATCTATGGAAGGACAATAATCTTCCAATTCATCCTCAGATACATCATTCCCTTCATCTAAAACCACATAATCCTCATCAGAATCATCAGAACCCTTACCTTTTGACCTAACCCTTCTCTTCACATCTCCCCTAGAAGTAACCTTCCCTCCCCTTCCCATCTGCGCTTCCACCCACCAAATCAACTCCCTATACGGGAAAGACGGGCTGGATGAATGAATCAGGTGAGGTACTGCCGTACTGATGACTGACGATTAATCGAAGAGGGAGTTGAGGTATGAAGAAGACGGCAAAAAGGGAGGTACTCAATTGACTGATCAGAGATTGAGAGGCGAGAGTGAATGTTATTTTGAAGATTGAGAGGCGAGAGAGATAAGAGGCAGGATAGAGTTGAGTTGCTAAGTTAGGGTAGGGGGTTAGGGATTTGCAAAAACAGGTACCCAGGGGTTCACCCATATAACATGTCAGTTATATGAGTCGAGTCGGGTATAGGTTCAATATATTGGACCCATACCCTATATTTTTTACCCGGGTATGGGCCAACCCGCAGGTCTGAACCCGTTTTGCCAGGTCTAGTGATCACTCACTTGGTTTCAAAAACATGTCTTAACTCTTGTGCATTTAGCCTTTTCCATGTAAGCACTCATTGATTTAGAATATACAACACTAACCCCATTATATAGATTATTAGATTATTTTATTTAAGTTTGGAAAAAATAACGTTTTTATTATTCATTCGAATTCAGTCAATCTAACATCCAAAATCTGTCAATAATTTTGAGAGATGAATATATTTTTTTGAGGTTAAATTGATGAAATTGTTGATAAATTTGAAGGTTAAATTGATGATATTTCTGAAACCAGCAAATGCTCACTATAAGAAAGGTTAAACAAAAATCGAATTACGAATTGGTTTAGAACTTTGGTTTTCAAATTCTTCAATGGAGGTGAGTGTTAGTCTAACTTTGGAGAAGATGGGTGAATGTGTTAGGGTTTATTTATATGGGGGTATTTTTTTTTTTTGGTATATGAGGTATCCCAAGTCCCGACCCACATTGGAACCTATCTATTCCTTAAGGTCACGGAATACCCTACAAGCTCAATAGACCAAGGTAATTGCATAAATGTGATAGATACTTCTCCTGTAACTCAAACACAAGACTTCTTGGGTAAAACTAACCTCAATAGTTAAAAGGTTTGTTATGGGGGGAGGTATATGAGGGTGTTTTCGCCCTTTAAATTTGTGTAAAATGCCATTTTGTTATTTCGTGAGAGAGTTTTTTAAAAAAGCGCTATTTTTCAGCCCCACTACTTTATAATAATTTGATTTTAACATTTCATTTAAATTGAATATAGACAAAAATGGATTTATTAATTATAACCAAATAAGTAAATAAATAATATTCAAAAACCTGTCGCGTAGGCGTTCCATGAAGAGAAGAAATACGATGCTGAAGATCTTGAACGAACTCTACAACCAAAGGATTAATAGAGTTTAGCAAGAAGACCTCCTTGGCCGTAATAATAGCCTTAATGTGCTCCAAGTTAACAACAATGGCACGCTCTCGCCCCAAACTCGTAGAAGGATAAGACAGCATCGGATCAAGCACGCGCAAGTCACGTGCCGGGGGTCCCGTCCATCGCATGATCCAGTACTTGCCGACTTTCTCATTGCGTGACTCGCCTAATTCTGATACTACCAGCCACGACTTCGTCCCCAAGACTTTCTGTCGCGGCGGGACCGACAACGGTTCTCCGTCATCGTCGTCGCCGGGAGTCGGTGGAGTGGAATTTGAAGAAGCCATTGACTTTTGTGAAAGATGCGTCAACCGAATCGTGGTGCAACTGCAGGCGTTTAACTTGTTGTCCCGCCAGTTGACAACGGAATTTGAAATAGGCCTACTCAAGGGAGGCGCGTTTTCATAATTTAAATATAAAATTGTTCTGGATTTGATTCTTCAAGGTAATATGGGCCCTTGGATCTCGATTCTGGAGTTGAATACCATGATCCAAGGGTTCTAATTAAGGGTGACATACTTGTATGAAGTTCCATTAGGAAAAAACTTAATCTATATCGAGGTTTTAAGTATGCATGTTGAGAGGGTGAGAAAGAGAATGATTAAGATAACATTCCTAATATTTCTCTTTTAAATAATTAAACTATAAACCTTAAATTTATTCACTTTCGAATTTATTTTACTTAAATATGTAAGAAGATTTTATTTTTTTTAATTCTTTAGTCTTCATTAAAGAAAAAAAAAAACCTAGTATAATCCAATCTTTAGCTAGCTAGCAAACGCACCCTTTATGGTTAAGACTTAAGAGTGGCAAAATAAAATTTAAGTCAACTTAGATACAACTTTTTAATTAATCATGACAAATATCGTAAATATTGTAATACAATTAACACGTTATTATTAAATGGTGATATAAATATAACCCGCATAACCAACTTATTAAACATATATATGTGTCACAATACGACTACCCATCCGTTTATGACACACTTAGGTCATTTAACATGTTTCACTGAACTCGTTTATTAATAATTTTTAAGCATGTTATAAATAAATGTATGTGTAAAAAAACGAATAATCATGTCATAAACAATTAGTCGAGTTATTATTAATAATTAATGCCAGATACTTCAGTGTAACTATGAGAAAGCAAGAAAGAGAAACATTTTAACTTATGCAAAGTATGAAATAGAATGAATGTGAGATGAAAGCATTATAATTTGGACGAAAGAAAAGCTACCATTTCCTATTTCAAGCAAGCTGAGGTGCCATTGCATGCTCAAACCTAAATCTCCAAGACAAAATGTTTAACTTCTAGTCTTTTGATGGGCGAGGAAAGGAAATAACTTCAATTTCTTGTTTTACCATACAAGGAAAATTGTCATCGCACTCTTCTGCCCTGTATCCAACTCAAAGAAATGACTAAACTTAAAACACAAACACAATAAAAGTAAATTCAACTTCTTCTTCTTCCTCCTTTGTGATTCTTGACTATAAATTAATACCTTGAACACGTATACAAGTTATTTCTCAATTAACATGATAAAAAAGAAAAGGCACTAAAAAACCAATGAAATGAGAATTTTCTCATGCAGAGGAACCAACAGCACTGTATGAACAATTGGACATGAGATACAGGCAAAAGGATGACAGAGTGACAAACAAAGCAATTCCAAAAATCTGCAAGTACCTCCACAATACAACTAATACATCTATCAAATATTACTTACTAGAGCGAGCATTTGCAGAAGCACATGCCAATACAAGAATCTCAAAACCAGTGAAGTTTAAAGTCAGTCTCACTTAACTAAAACAATAAATACATATGTATACTTTATATGAATGTGGATCAAATAGCCTCAACAGAGATTAAAAACTATCGAAAGATGATATGAAGGTACATATGCTAGTCCTGCTAAGAAGGTTCACTAGCAACACCTTAAAGGAATAAGCAATTATATCAGCTAAGAACCAACAAAACGTTAAATAGTATGACTATTTAACTTAAGTAAGTTGCAGATGATTAAACCAAAATGAGCAAGTCATAAACATTAAACATATTTATGAGGCCATAAGAAGTTTAAACTACCCTCCTTTCAAGAGAATAATATAATCACAAATACCACAGAATTCCACAATTAGCCAACACTAAACACAAAACATTAATAGCTTAATTAATCATTCTCAAAACAACCACCACAAAAAGCATAATTTATACCACGGAACAACCAATAACCTAATGACCGGATGATTTCATGGCCTCCAAAATCATCTCAGTCTGCTCCTTAATCAAATCATTCCGCTCCACAAACAACTGCAACTGAGCAATCTGCAGCTTCTTCCACCTTTCCTCCAATTCTGCTTTTTTGGCTCCTCCAATCATATCTAAACCCTGGTTGATTACAAACTCCTCCAAATCAGCCATCCCAACACTCTTATCAAACAAAAGCATCTCTTTTTCACTGCTCAGACTCCCTTTCTTATCATTATCAATATCCATCTTCTCCCCTTCCTTAGCTCCATCATTCAACTCAGCTTTGAAAAGAGCTAAGGACTCACTACTCCCTTTCTGGTTTTGATTCTTTTTGGCTTCTGCGTTATACTTTGCCGCCAATTCAAGGACACCACTAGTACTTCCATTGCCCCATATCTTTTTAGACAAATCATAAGCGTGCCGTTCATGGAGTTTCGAAAAAGTCCTATCTTCACCTTTCTTCCCTCTCCCAAGATTGTTCTCATACTTCTTCTTCAATCTCCTAATCTTGTCCATCACTTGAGTTCTTGTAACATCCACGTGAAGCGATTTCTTGATAAAATCATGAAAAGCATTCGTATTCTGATATGGGTCCATCCCTTTTTTCGTGGTGAAAGCAATCACCCCCTTCAATACGGCAATTTCATCCTCCTCGCTCCATACCCTTTGAAAAAGCTGCTTCTTTGTATCCTCTCGCGGCTTCTTCTGATCCTCATCATCCGGATCCGCAACCGTTTTCTCCTTCGCCCGTTTCGAGTCTTTCAGAGACTCCTCCGTCTCATTGGGGCGTTTTGCCGGAGCTTTCGACCTTGGTTTTGTGGTGGTGGCCTTTGGGGATTCCTTTATGGTTTTGGTGGCAATAGGTTTAGGAGTTGATTCCGGGTCGGCGTCGGACTCAGATTCGGAATCTTCTTCGGAGCTAAAGGATTTGGATTGAGGGGCAGAAGCAACAGAGTGGGTTGGTTTCTGGGTTTGTTGAGGAGGAGGAGAAGAAGGTTTTGTGGGTTCTTCAGTTTCTTCATCGTCAGAGGAACCCTCTTCATCTTCGGAGGAGGAAGCATCTGGTAGTTCTTCCTTGGGTTTTGGCTTCTTAGTTGCCATTATGAAACGGAGATTAGGAGATTTGACAGGAATTGAGTTGAGAAGAGAAGGTAAAGGGCCAGGGTTAGTGCGGGGGTTTATAGGGAAAACAAAAGCCCAAGCGTTAGAAGTCGAAGTAGAGAATGCAGATTTCTTAAATCAGGAGCGTTGAATCACCCAAAAAAAACATTACACGAATTACGAACTTAATCGGACGGCTAGGGGATGCATCAGGGTGTTGGATTGACCTTTGGTTTTTTAAAAAGGCAACCGCCGTTTGTACTTAATTATTGAACATTTTAATTATAGCTGTGGAGGGAAACTTGAGCCGCAATCTATTCTGGCATAGCTTGCTTCTTGATATTGTAAATGCCACTCCTACCCATACTGAGGACTACTAGAATTTCTTGAAAACACGCCGCCGTCGTTGCCATTAATAATGGCTATGAATTCAATCAAGTAGCTCTACTACCTATTAAGTAACGATTGAATGCAAAAACTAAAAGGAAACACGCCAACAAATGTATTTAACTTTTAACTCTAAATTCCGAAGGAAATTAATGACGTAGATGCAAATAGAACTTTTGAATTTAAAAAGCTGCTAAATATAGTTGTATCCATCATTCCATCCTACTTGGACAAATACTAAATAAAAAATAATTAAAAAAAAATTACAAGTTTTGAAAAATTAAAGAATACTTAAAAAAATGAAATTAAAATCTAAAAAATGTTTGCCAAATTGAAAGTTTTATT